CTATTCTGTTTTCGTCGCTGCTGGCGTTTTTGCTCTTTCCTCTTTTCTCGTTGCCTTTCCCTACTGCCTTTTGTGCTTTTTACTTTTCATTTGCGTTGTTCTTGACTTTGTTTCGTCCTGTCTTGCTTTTGTTATTCTTATTTCCCTCTTTTATCGCGTTTTTGATGCATCTTCCCTTCCCTTTACATTCTTTTTAACTCTTGTCTCTTGCTCCTTTTTTGTCTTCTCCCTTCCTTGTCGCCTGCCTATCACGTTTCTCTTCTCCTGATGTGTCTTGTCACCTATTTCTTAGGCGTTCCTATTGTATCCTCATTATGATCCTGTTTTTCCTTTTCTAGTTTTTATCTACTCTGCCTATTTCCTATTCTGCTTTTCTCGTGTCCTCCGTATTCTGCTCTGTGGTTCTTCTCTTTTGTATTCTCATCTGTTTCTTCCCTTTGCTTGGCTTTGTTTACTTTTCCTTTGCCTACTATCTCTACCTTTCGTTATCTCATGTTCCAGCTGTTTTTTCTCGCTGCTGATCTCATCTATTCTTTCTTGCTGACTTTCTCCTTTCCTTCCTTCTTTCTTATGCTCTTCCAGCTGTTTTTTGCTCTCTCTGTCTTTCGTTCCTTTGCTATGTCTTGTGTTATTCTCTTTTATCTCTTGACATCTTCCTATTAAGTTTTGTCTTCTATCTTTATTTTCTTTTAACTTCCTATTTTCTCTTTTCCTGTTTATTTTGCCTTTGTTGTCTTTGTTGTATCTTGATCTTCCTCCTTATTCTTCTGCTTATCCCGTTTTTCTCTTGCTTTTGTCCTTCTTTCTTCCTTTCCTCTATCTTTTGTTTCATGTTGTCTTTCCATCATATCGCCCCTTTTCTTTCTTGCTCCTCTTTCTGTTTTCCCTACTTTTAGTTACTGTTTTGCTTGTTTTTGTTCTCTTTTCCTTTGTTCTTTTGCTCCTTTCTCTCGAATTTGTCTTGAGTTTTTGATTATTCATCGCTGTCGATATCTCCTTCTCTCTCTTGCGCCTTGTTATGTTGTGTTCCCTTCTTTCCTCTCTTATGCTTCTGTTGTCTCTCATCTTCTTTTCCGATTCCTTTTTTTGCTTCCTTACCT